AGTCTCTTACAAGAGGGGTCTTTGATTCTTCTGAAGCAAATCGGATTACAGATTGCAACTCTCTAAAACAGGTAAATTTTACAATGTTTTGAATAATTATTTGCTTGTTGGAACATGGATAACAGCAAGGGTGTACCGGTGGCTTCAAGGTTTTCTCACGGTATTTAGGGAAAACTATACCATGGTGATGGTTTAATACTGCACAATGTACATGTTTTATAGTTTCCTATGCCAAGTGAGACCTATGTTTTCATGTTCCTTTTATTCTCAGATACAAGGCCAAATAAAATCCAATTAATATTAGATAAAAATTAGTAAATAATATTTATTTGAAATATATTTAGGAAATGAGAGTCTACTTGCTTTTTACTTTAAGTATTAGTTTACTCTTTCGTAGAAGCTGATTTAAAACATACTTATATTTATTCTACAATACTAAATATTCAATTACGACTCTACCAAGTGCAATGCACTGTACCAATTGCTTATATTGTTTGACTACATGTTGCATCTTTGACTTGGAATAAATGTATTTCACTATTAATTTACATTTCATTTTATGGGATCTTTGTCATTTGCTAGACTTTCTTATTTTGCAGAATTATGTCTTTTTGAAATAAATCAATCGATAAATAGCAAAGGAAAACACAACTAATAACTAGTGTTGCTACTATTTGAGGTAAATTACATGCCGTTAATCAGGTTTTAATTTTAAGATTTGAATTTTTTCTTGTGCAATGAAATGTACAGCAGTCAACCACTAACTATTTACACTTCTTCAAAAATATCATTGAACAAGTGGCTGCTTATGCATGTGTTTGGCCCCCATTTTTATCTCATTCTCATTCTCATTTTTTTCTCTCTCTTATTTTCAACCACACAATCTTCCATAAAATAATAATACACACAAATCAAAAACTTTTCATTCTTTTTCAACCACACATTTTTCAAAAAAAACATTATTTCATCCATTAAAATTAGCTAAGAATGGGAGTCAAACACATGCTATATGAGAGACCCAAGTAAGATGATCAAGGGGGATGCATTAGAGTAGATTGACTGTTTCTATATGTGGAAATGTAGGTTAAGTTTTATTTTATTCACTTAGTTTTAGTTGGGACAATGTAACTACTTGATTTGATAAAATGTGCATGTGTCATCATTTTTTAATTATACGATGTGTGCATATGTTGAATTTTTAAGCATTTCTTTTAGGCAATTGACGGTATCAACCTACCAAACTATGCAAGTGGTAAAAATCCTTTACACAAATGATCTTGTATTGTGATTATATAATGTGTATATTTCTTCTTTTTATAGTCACAATAATTATCAAACCTCGTAATATGAAATTTCAATAGTGTGTTCTATATTCAAAAAGTAATCTATCCTTTACACTAATATTATGAAATTTTATCTGGACACAATGAATCTTCAATACACGTCTCTCGTAAATCTTTTAAAATTCAACACGCTAATGTCACCTCAAAAAAAATACAGCCCATGCATTACATGGGCAAATGACTAGTTGTTATGTAAAAGAAAGGATTTATTTTTACATTTTTAAAGGCAAAATTATTTATGTATTGAAATCATTATAAAATTAGAAATAATGTAGATTCTAGTAATCTTGGAATTGATCACCTAAATCCATGTTGGCTTTACAAAAATTGTAACTTTTCCGAAGGATTTTTTTACTATTTCCAAGAAAATTTATTTTCTTTCATTAGTCAACGGAATTTAATAGATTTTGACAAAAAGCGCAACAAGTTCACATAATGAAAATGAAATTTCTGTTGACTAGTTTATTTGTTTGGCTTGAACTCTTATGATTATGGATTAATAGTTCATTTCTTTTATTTATTTTTAACTTATACGTATTAATTAGCGTTTGAGATCTAATGCATATTTGATATTGATTTTTCTCCTCAAAAAACCAATTTTTAATCGTTATTTTACTATTTCAGCCATTATTTTTTATTTCTTCTATCACGGGTAAAATTCACTCTTCTCTCTAACAATCAAAAAATCAATTCTCAAAATCACTACTGAACAAGCCCCTAAACTTCGATTAAAGGTATTTCATTGATACTCCTCTCAGTGTCTATTCTTTCAAACATTTTAAGGTACAGGAAATGCCCACCCTCTATTTTGCTTTAAAAAATATCAAGTGATAAAAACATTTAATTAATAATTGTTATTTTATGAAAATCAGTATAAATAATGGCAAATAGTAAGAAGAAAAATTGATATCTGGGAGTGTCTTCGATTGAGATTTAGACGGATTTTAAATATCCTTCTAAATTTAGGTATTTTCAATTGAAATTTTAATGAAATCCATTAAAACTCAGATGCCTCTAATTGAGATTTTTAATGAAATTTAATAAAATCATTTAAAATTTAGGTAACGTCAATAACTAATAGATTTATAAAGCTTTTATTAGTAGAAGGATTTTAAAAGATTTTGATTGATTTCAAGCTTAAAAATACATATAATAAAATCTTTTGAGATATCATCATGTTTTATGAGATTCATATGGAATTTGTAAAAAATTATTTAAATGTACAAAATTCATTAGAATTTATAATCTTTTAAAATATATCAAAATCTTAGATGATGACATCCCGTTAATGTCACTGTGCTCAAACTAAGCCTTATTTATAAAATGAAATGCCCAGTTTCGAGGCTATCCACGTAATCTCTAAAGGAAAATGCCACTTTATCCAAAGATGTTTGACACTCAGAGTGACCGATCCTCACAAAGTGCAAGGGTGAGAATAGAATAATGTCTGACTCTCGAGGTATGTGTGTTCGATCATCCCCTATATTAATCATTATGTTCCTCTAGCTCATTCTTGGACAAAAAACACCACTACTTGGAGCTAAGAAATCATTAGTACGACTTTATTTTGTATCATTTGTAATACCATTTTTACGAGTCCTATTGGCGATGGATGATGCTAAACTATTGTATGAAGATTTAGCCTAAAAATCATCTTCATCAAATCCTTATGATTTCAATGAATAATAAAGTTTCGGCCATCATGGGGATAACCGTGAGAAAACGAAAACGCAAGAGCAAACAAATTTACAGGAAGTAACCTACACGAAGTTAATGAATATGAAGTTAGAGATATGTCACTAGCCCCATTAAATCAAATTTTATTTTTCTTTCTCATATTTTCAATCACACAATCTTTCATAAATAATATTACAGGTAAATTGAAAATTTTTCCTTCTTTTTCAACCACCAATTTTTTTTTTAAAAAAAAAAACTATTCCATCCATTAAAACTTTTTGATTTTTGGAACTTCTTAAACATGTTTAAATATTTGAAGGCAATACTCATTTTACTTGGTGGTTACGAAGATATAAATACTAGAGTAATACTCTTTGTAATCGATTGCGCAATGTTACGTGTATGCCACGCAAGTGACTACGATAGTGAACAACTATAAATAACATTAATCTAAATATTAGACCTGTTCATTCCAATATTGGAATTTTTCGGAATCAACAATTTTGTTTATTAAGAATCATTTTACAACATTCACGTCAAGTAATTGGATATTTTCTTTTATTCAATTTTACAATTACGTCTATATTTTTATCAAAATAGAAGGAATTCATTACTTGGTTGATGAAATTCGTGATTTAGCTAGAAAACTCACTCTTTTAAAATGGAATTATGCTACAAGTACATGATTTTTGCACAAGAAACTTTTTATAGACACGAGTGTCAAAACATCATTTAAAGATAGAGAAGAAAATAAAACACAGATGGACAAGAAATTTCCATTTCAAAATCCCGTATGAATTCTGTAAGTTTTCCCTATACTCGGGGAAAAATCCTTTAAAATAAGAGAAATGCAAAATACTTGAATTAATTTTAAGCAAAAAAAATAATAATAATAAATAAATAAATAAATATATTTTGCGTTTGGTGAATAATTCCATGAATTTTGATAAAATTTATAAAATGGAATGGTTAATAAATTAGAAAAGAAAATATAAGTCGGAAGATTAAATTGAAATGAATAAAAGTTTGGTAACCAACATGACACAAAACTATAAGGTGAATGATCTCCAGTTAAATTTCCCCTTGTCATTGCTATAAATACCATTCAGTTCTTCCTTCAAGCCGAACCCATACACTGATATAAAACGCACTTTTCACACACAAAAAACTGTAATATAGATGTTGTTGGTAATTCGACTAACGGAATCAAAAGAACAAATAAAATAAGCAGAAAAAAATTGAAAAGTAGATGAAGAGAGGTATGCCAAAGTAAATCTCCTTAAGACAGATTTCGCCCTCCAATGAAGTGCAAACGGGATTATGGACGTCTGTCTCCCAAGATACAACGCTCCTTCCAAAGTTGATACTGCACAATATCAACCTTGTCGGTCGAACCAATGAAAGATCGTACTCGAACGGAATAACCACGAAAATATAAGAGATTTTTTTTTTTAGCAGAATATGGAGAGAGAAGAATTTAGAAATCAATTGAATTTGTAATTGATTTGGTGTGTCAAAAACGAATCCTGGGTTCTCTATTTACAGAGATTGAAGTGTCTCATGGAATAGGTGTGTGATATTTCAGGAATTGGTGCACCACTTGGTTTGATTCGTCTTAGCCATTGGATCGCACTATTTTCATGATCTGACGGCCCAGATTAAACCATGAAGTGAAGTGTCCATTCATCATACCTATTCACCAATTTCTGAACAGTCACAGCCATGCGGATGCCACGCGTACATCTAACCGCCATGCAGGCGAAGGGACGGGACCTACCACTTGTGCGCCACCTAGAATGCCAACTCACCAAGCCTTGTGCTGCCACGTCATCGAACCACAAGTCCATTTCCGAAAACTATAAGGCTCCCCAGCTCCTCGCGACGATGCGTACGTGCGAAGTGCGCCTCTAAAGCGCCCAATGCGTACTTTGTGACGTGCGCGTGTGCGTGCGCGTGCCGGGTCCGGGGCTAGCCTTTGGCTAACTAAAGTTAGCCAAGTGGTAGGTAACTTATTAAATTATATATTATTCACACAACCCACTATATAAACAAGACTATTTTCTTGTAAACTTTCGATGTGGAACTCCTTTCTATATAAAAACACTTAAAATTGGCTTATCAACATATGGGCATATATTGGAGACTTTTTCAATTCACCCAAATTAATTATAATGGCCCACATCAATAAATATTTAATTTAATATTTTAAACCCAAATCAAATTCAATTAATTCCAACAATAGATACATACAGATTTCATACACTGAGAGAAATTGTAATGGGGTCGGCGCAGGTGCATTTGGAGAAAATGGAGGCGCGTAAGAACTACGCGAACCTTTGGCACACAGATCTCATACATTCTCCTGAATCCGATCCTCTTTTTATGGTTCTATATTTTTTTCAGTCCAATTTTTTTATCGACATATAATGTTAATTTCTGTATCTATTTGGAAAATTCTGTCAAATTATACTATTTCACTCGAAAGTATAATAAAAAGTTTAGACACAATATGGATCGCTAATACCGCATGGATCTTCATTTACCGTTTTTCACTTGAAAATGCTATGAAAAAACCAGTTTTATTAATCAAAAGTCTAATAGAAGTATCGTTCTTTAATTGTTTTTGATATTATGGTTGATTTGATTCATTTGAATATATTCTGACGTGTTTCTTTTGGCAGTTTGCTGTTTCGCACTTCTGTGGTGCGCAATTTAATTTAACATTGTTTTTGTATGTTTTCTAGTTGACAACTGAGAACTGGATAAATTTATATCTAATAAATCATTTTGAATTGTTTCATTGCATTCATGCTAGCTCTAAATTGCGAGTACACGAGTACAATTGAAATAGCGGAGGAGCCAGGGGAAGACAAAAACGCGTGTTTATAAAATCCGTGTACATGAAAATTTTACTTATTTCTCCTCTCCTCTTAACTAATTGTGCTTGCTTGCTTTTCGTCTTATTTTAGTGGTCCATGCGCTTCATACATGCTGAGAAAACGAGCTCTTTACAATGACATGTCTAGGTAAATGATGACTTCTCCATGAAAGATTGATAATGATCAAATTATGTTTTCAGTCTACCTTACGACGTGCTCTTCTTTAGGTATACATGCTGTGGGGATTACATGCCTTGTAGCGGTCGATGCGGAGAAAGTAACTGCCCTGAATTTTGTCTTTGCACGGGGGTTTGGCATTTACTTGACACATTTTGATCTCTAATGTATGTCTGATACACAACACCGAATAAGATTCAACATTCACTTATTTTATTTTTATCAAACTATCTTGCATTGTTCCATCCAACTTAACAAATATACTGTTAGTACATAAGAATGAAGTAGGATAATATAAATTGAAGAAGACTTAACAAATATCATTATCCTCAAATGATATTTGCCTCCACTCGCAATGCTTTTACAGGATTGAAATGACAAATAATTTGTAGGATTAAACAAGCTTTCAATGAAGAATACCAAAAACAAAGTAATTCTTCAAAAATGAATAAGTGAAAATAAAAGCTTTAAATATGTGTTAATTTCTTTCTCTTTGGATGGATAATGGAAAAATAGTTTTTTATATGTTTTAGGGATGAACACACCATGTATTTCGAAAAAAATCAGCCAACAGTCAGATTTTTATACTTTGCTCAAATAGTTATAACTTTGGCTGCCCAAGGATTTTCTGTAAATCCATATGCAACCGCAAGCCTCAAAGGCTTATGCGATTGTATAAGCCATTTTTATGGCGTCATATCCCCTCTTTTTTATTTTTATTTTTTTCCTTTTAATTCATCCACCCACGATTTTGAACAACTAGATTCCAACACTTAGTGCTTGGTTAGATTTAATATTTTGCTCCCTATAATGGTTTGATTATTTGATTACTATGTTCGTGCTTCAGGTTTTCCTCTGCTTTGCAAATTCTGTTGCCTCAACACGCTTTATGTTGCAAGATGAGTTCAACATACAAACAACGAAATGTGATAACTGCATTATTGTACTCTCTCTCTCTCTCCTGTCCAAGCACGCATGCTTAGTGAGCATGTCGCGTTAATGTGTTCATTACTCTCCTTTCCTCGTTTTCTCTACCTGCTTGAGGTTTGTGCATATCTACTGTGATAGGGATTTATGTTCTGCCTGCAGCAGCTGTCTTGCATATTTTCTATCATTGCTCTACTCGTGGGAAGTGAGGACATTGAGGAGGCATCCCAGCTATTGAACTGTCTTTCTGACATGGTTTACTGCACGTAATATATTCCAATTACTTTTTCATTCAAGGTCGAAGTTATTTAAATTAAAAAATATACTAAATCTTAATACCTCTTTCGTTTCGTTTTGGCAGGGTTTGCCCCTGTATAGGTACGTATTGTATCATCAATTAGGATTTTATATCTTGACTTTGCAAACGAAAGATCAACTATACAAGTTTTTTGGGGAAGAAAGATTCGAACTTTTCGAGAGCACCGTGCTTTAAGTTTCAAGTTCTATTTGCGCAACCTTTTGTATCATGGTCTACACTTTGTGCAGACACAGCACATGATTGGAATGGATAAAAGGGATGGAATGTTTGGAGCCCCATCAGTGATGGCAGCGCCTCCTGTCCAACAGATGTCTCGTATAGATCAACCCGTCCCTCCTCAAGTCGGGTATCCACCTCCACCGCCATATGGTCAGCCCCCCACTTATCCTCCACCTGTGTATGGTATGCCCCCGGCTTATCCCCCACCTCCAACAGTGTATGGTCCGCACACAGGATACCCCCCACCTCCACCACGCTATGGCCACCCCCCTGGTTATCCCTCACTGCCACAACCACAAGCCGAGGGCTGCCCCTCGCCTCCACAACCACGACCAAAACCACAACTCCAGGGCTACCCCCCAACCACTTATCCTTCACAAGGTTATGGTTATCCTCCAGCAAATTATCCTTCATCCCCCACCTGATAACAATAGATGAACTCCCCTTTTGGTTTTTTTGAGGTTGTACTTGAATCCTAATTTTGTTTTCAATCGATTTATGCATTAGGTATACTTTGAGAGTATACATATACGTTGACCATGGGACCATTTTTTCTACACTATATTGACAGACTAATTTGCTCGGTCCCTGAGTCGCTTCTTTTTTCTGAGTTCTCAAACTAGCTCCCAATATTCCTCTTGCTGTTGATCCTTTCACGCTAAAGTGACAAGAGACCGGCTCTCTCTTCTTTATGCACAACTAATAGAGTGACTATCTTGTGACTGCATGTAGTTAACGTTATTGAAATAACTTGATTAATCGGTAATTTATCGTAAATAAAGTAATAATTCTTCTATTCGTATTTATGTTTCTTTGTTTGTATAGAAAAATGCTTTACGTGGTCTTTCTTGTAATAAATGTGGATGTTTATGATGTTTTCAATCAAGACTTAATTGTTTTATAAATTATACTGTATATAAATTCTTCCCAAATTGAGGCTAAATAACGACATGCATGAAAATGGGCATGATTTTCTATCGTTTTTTTCATTATGCTATTATTATTGGGATTCATACTATTTTCAATATCCTTACTTGATCTCTTATTCAAATATTATTTGTGCTTTGTCTGGTTTGGACCCAAATCCTACTATTGTAATGTTGTATAATATGAGTTCAAATTTAACTATGGGAGAAGACAAACGTGTATGCCCAGTGTTTTTGCTGGCATTATCCTAATTGCTACAATAACTCAAAATTGTACAGTGTCTTATAATAAAACTCACAAAACTCCACAGACAAATAAATCATCGAGTAGTCCTGGCCTATGTATATTGTATTGTTCGTGTCAATTTGCTATTCCTGAGCCACCAGAGACACTGTCCATGTACGAGTGTTGACGGGTTGAGTGGGTGAGCTTAATTGAAACTTGTACTTTTGAAAAGTTATAGGACTTAATTTATTATTTTTCTTATTTTGTGTTGTTTTACTGCTTTTTTTGTGTTTATTTTAAGAGGGGGAAATTTGTCACTTGAGGGCCAAAATGGATAAAATGATGAACTTTGCTTCATAATTGAAAGGTTGAGGATGAATAAAGGTTATATTTTGCAAAGTTGAGGATGAACAATGCAAATTTCCCTAAACTTAATTATGGTTTTTATTCCTGGTAAATTAGAAAGTTATTTATGATCATTTTAATAAATATTTAAAAACATGGTGTAACCATAGTTATTAAATTCAACCTAAGCGACTCAATTGAGATAATGGACCATCGGGCTATTTGTTGGACAAGTGATTTGGTGGTCGGATAGGTGAGTCATTGCTTAAGAATTATTTAAAATTTTTTTAAAATATATATATTTTTTAAATAATTAAAATTTTTAAGTTATTTGTCACTAATTAATTTTACGTCTTTAAAGTTTAAATTAGTGATTTTATAAACTCATTTATTAGTAATAATTGTTACATTTACATTTTATATATTGTATCGAAAAATTTGTAATATCCCATTTTTTTTATGTAAATATAATTTATTAGTAATTGACTATAAATTTATGTCATTATTTATTAAATTCATCTTAACTAAAATTAAAATTTTCATACATAATAAATCTATAAAATAATTATTTTGGATTATAAAATGAAGGTAAAATTAGACTAACTTCTTTCAAAATACTTCATGAAAATAGTAAATAGTTTATGATTGACATGCCTTGTTTCGGTACTGGGGAAAAATTATTAAAAAATAAGATTTTTTTTTTAAAATTTACATGTCAAATTATTTTATAGAAAAATATAATTGAAAATAAGTTTTCGAATAAATGAATTTTTCAAAAATGAAGGTTAAATTATTAATTTAATTTTACTTTTACTTTTCCTACACAGTAGTAGTACGGTACGAGACGGGGCAAGGACTCTTTTTGTAATTTTCACAGAAAAACGTAGTTTCTCGAAGCCTGAACATTCCGTGTTGCCGCTCCCAAACCTAAACCCCCACGCGGCCACGCCACACACTGATACAGAGCTCCACTGCCTCCGGTCACCCCAAAGCTTACAATCGCAGAACGCAAAATAAATCGCAGATATCTACATCGAACAATTGTTCTTCAATCGATTTTCTGATTAGAGATTTATTTCACGAGAAAAGAAGAGAGCGAAAATGCCTCCAAAGCAATCTAAAACGGATTTAGCAAAGAAGCAGAAGGTAGTAGAGGACAAGACATTCGGATTGAAGAACAAGAACAAGTCCAAGAATGTCCAGAAATACGTCCAATCTCTCCAACAATCAGTCCAGCCCAAACCTGACCCCAGCAAAATCAATGCCAAGGTTTTCCCCCGATCCCAATTCATACCACTCACAAACACGTGGATGTATATGCACTTTATATGGTAGTCATTGACTATTGAGTAATTATTAATCTGTTTATTAGCATTTTCTGGAAAATTACAGAAGAAGAAAGAGGAAGAGAAGGCAAAAGAAAAGGAGCTCAATGAATTATTTAAAGTTGCTGTCAGTCAGCCCAAAGTCCCAGTTGGTGATTTCTCTTACTTACTTTTAACGAGTGTCTTAGAGAAATATATTTTGTTGTGCAGTATAAGCTCAAATGTGTGTATACGAGGTTGATATCATGTGTCCATACACTACTGAGCAGAGTAGTGGATGCCTGTCTATAGCTCTTTTTGCTTATTTTAATTTTTTTCGTTCATATTTGTTAAATTTTGTGTGTAAGAAGGAAATATAATTTCTAGAAATATAGAATTGGTAATGTCGTGGGTTTCTTGTGCTTTTTCTGTTGTTCGTTCTGTGATTGGGATGCATGGGTGACTCAGTTAATTGATATAGAATGGTTTGATGTATTCAGGTGTTGATCCAAAGTCGATAGTGTGCGAGTTTTTCAAGGTGGGACAGTGTGCTAAGGGTTTCAAGTGCAAGTTCTCACATGATTTGAGTGTGCAGAGGAAAGGAGAGAAGATTGATGTCTATAGCGATAAGCGCGACGAAGGTTAGTATACTGAACTCCTACTATAGTTATCTGATGTTTCTGATCTTGTTATAGGATATTTCCCTTTAATTATGACTCGTATTTTGGGTGTTCATTGCTTTGCTTCAAAAAAGGACAAGGAACAATGGAGGACTGGGATCAGGAGACCCTGGAGAAGGTTGTAGCATCCAAGAGCAATGAATACAACAAGAATAAGCCTACTGATATAGTAAGTCTTCATTATTCAATTCACTATTTATATTTCACAGTTACAATCTTTGGGGTGAATGCCAGTGTTCTACTTTCGTCGGTATTTTACCCTTCACTATTAATTATTGTTGTTGTTGTGTATAGAAATTGTAAAAGTTATGGCAGATGAAGCTAGAAATAATCCGAAATAGACGGAAATCTTTGTAGCAAATACATCCATTTTGCAATATAGACTTGTATATCACCTAAAGTAGTTTGTGAGAAATAAATAGATTCCAATATTTAAGGAAAATGAGTTTCTCAAAACCACCAGAAATACTACAGATGAAATTTGCAGATTTTTTTATTTTTTATTTTTTTTTGTCTCCGTTCTGTCTTTTGCTATTTTATTTTCCAGTGCTAACAAATTTTACATAAATGTAGTTCATTTGATCACTAAATTATGTTAGGTGACTTTGGTTGCTGAAAAAATTGTTCCCTTTTCGCAGACATCTTCATTTTATCTACACATTTTTAAGGTTCACTTCACAGAAAAGAAAATCCAAATTGGTGGGAAGCAACCGACTGGTTTTTTTCTGGTTCAGATCTCTTTACTTCTCAGCGAGCAAGTTCCCTTTGCAAATAAGAACTTAACCATGTAAGTACTTATTCTTATTTGAACTTTAATGTGTAGCTCCCAGCTTCGTTTCTTTACACAATAAGAATTTCTGATTATTAATGAATCAGCAATGTTTTTCAAAGATTCAATTAGGATGTAATCATTAAAATTTGATTATTTGCTTGCCATAGCGTATTTGGAAACAAATTGATATTTTCATTTTCCCCAGCAAATGTTGGATATCACATTAATCTACCCATTAACAAGCTATCACAAGAAGATGATTTATTAGGGTCTGAAGGATAATTGAGTGATGAAAACATATTGAGGCACTTTATGCAAGGAAATCTTGAAGGTTAACCGACAACTAACACCACTCTGAAGGTGAATAATATGGTTGTGTTTCTATTCCATAAGATAGTTGTAAAAAAGAATATATTGTACTTGTAAGGAAAAAAGAAAGAAACATAAAACTAATTTATAAATGCCTTCTCCCTGTAGTAGGGTTGTAAGCAAAAACCGTAAAACCGGAAAATCGAACCGAAACTGCATTTTTGAAACCGTCGGTTTGGTGCCACGTGGACCCGGTCAACGAAATGGTTTTGACCTAAATTAAACCGGTTTAAATGGTTTGGTTTAGGTTTGAAAATTTTAATTGCGGTTTAAAACCAAACCGGACTAGCGAAAAAATATATAAAAATATAAAAATGAAAAAATGAAATTTTTTGAAAATTCATCCAAATATGTAAAATTCAATAGTTTTGTCATTTGTGGGTATTTTTGTCAATTTCTAATTTTCTAATACATATATATTATTATTATTATTATCCAGTAATCCTAATATATATCTAATAATTTCAAGACTAACACAATCTATCAAAAGCCTTTTTCTTTTTCAGAATTTAGATGAACTTCAGTCGACTCCCAACACAGTCTTGAGCTACTGTTACCACACACTTCTTTTTCAGATTTTTCACGCTTCTTCAAAGTTAAATTGAAGTCCTTTATACCAAATCAGAGACAAAGAGATTTTAGACTTTCGGTGATAATATTTGTTACGAATAAAGTTTGAGATCAATAATTTTTTTTGAGCAAATTAAGGTAAGAATCTGAAATTAAATGTATTTCGTAACATCATACAAATATAAAATTGTGTAATTCTTATATTTAGATATTATAAACAATTACTTTATTATTGTGGGTGGTTATTCTCTTTATTTAATTAGTATCATTTTTTTCAGATATGATGATCACGAGATCTTGTTGGACATCATTATGTTTTTTGGGCCTTATATCTAGTTTAGTAGACTTTTATTGTAACGTTATTGTATCGTCATTAGCCTAAAAAAGTGAAAAAAATGAAAAAAAATTATGTTTTAGTTTATTGTGATTTCACTTTGATTTAGTTGGTATTTAAATTTATAGTAGATATATTTAGTCCATGTTTGAGCCATATTTTCCCTATCATCATAATGAGAAAATTGACTATTGGAGAGGAGGCTGGGTCTCACATATGAAATGGCAGGTCAACAAAGGCGGCTGGACTTGTGGGATAAAGGTCCAAATTTTCATTTTTTATCCCAAAAATTTGGTTCAAACATGGGCTTAGTTTATTTTAGATTTATTGCTAGTAAGATACAAATATATATTGAATTCAATGAATTAATGACATAAAAGTAGACGGGCAAAAAAATATATGGCTAAACCGACGGTTTAAAATCGGACCAAACCGTTAGATTTAGATTTGAAGTTTTTTCAAACCGTTCAAAATGGTTTGGTTTAGGTTTGGGTTTTTCTCAAATCGTTTTAAACAGTTTGGTTTGAAAATCTGTCAAAAATCGGTAAAACCGAACCGCTTACATCCCTACCCTATAGTACATGCTATCAAACTCATAAGTGAGCACTGAATGGTGCCAAGTTTTTGCTAAATGACTAAAGAGGCGAAATGAAGGAGAGAAAACCACATGACATGTAGTAACGAGAAAGGAAAACAAACCAAGAAACATAAAACAGAGTTATGATGTGTGGGATGGGTGCTAATAAACTCACTCAATTTCTTACTTTAGAAAGAGTAACTCATGTTCGGGTTTGTTTTTCTTCTCTTTTTCCTGATACTTGTTAGATCCATCACGAGTGAAGCAAGAGGACTTTTAATCAAAGATATATTTTCTTAAAATTGTTTTCGACATAATTAACCATATAGGGCAAGCTCAATCAAATTTGTTACAGTCTTTGAAGATGAGCCTGATACTAGATCATCTGTAATTTCATGTGTTGAGATTATGAGAGTGTATCCTTGGACTTTGTAGGAGCCTATAGCTTGGCAAGAGGGATATTTCTATTTAAATTTCAGGTGCACTGGTGATGTGGATAAAACAATTACCAAGACTAACAAGATGGAAAAAGAATTCTGAAACAAATTTGACAGAAAAGTTTTTTGGATAAATTTTTTTTCCCAAGTATTCCCTCTATGAATTGTGATTCTTTATGCTTTCTAGAAATGCTTATAAAGTGAAAAGGAGAGTTAAAAAAAAGGTTTTTCTGGTGGTCATGAAGGAAAGAACCTCAAGAACAGTTTTTGCTTCAATATTTGCTTATGATGGAAGGATATTCAGAGCCTGTTTGGGAGTGATTTTGAGAATTGATTTTTTGACCATTAAGAGAAAAGTGGGGTTCACCTGTGAGAGAAGAAGTCAAATATGACGGTTGAAATAGTTAAATAACGGTCAAAAAATCAATTTTTTGAGCCAAAAAATCACTCCCAAACCCTCTTTCAGTAGGCATATATTGATTTTGTTATTTCTTATGACCAAGAAGATTTTATACAGGTTTCTTATTTTCTTTTTCATGCCTTTACACTAAAGGGAAATGAGAAGACAAGTGAGACCAATGAAAATAAACCGACGAGGAGGAGTAGGATGATAGGGCAATCAAATATGTTATAATTCCTTTAAAGATTCTATTAGAATTAATGATGTAGGAGACTTCTTGGTTTTTGTACTTCTAATAGTAGATTACAATATTGTTATGCCATTACTAATTTTAGAAATTATTATTTGCTACTTTATTGATCTACTTAATGTTTATTTCACAAATTGATTTTGTTTGCAAATTAGACTTTGATTTTGTTGATTAGATTTATTTGGTTTTTTAGATGGGTCATGCTTATTATGAGCATATTCTTTTGAATTATGTTATTAGCTTGTCTAAAGGCTCATGAGGCTCATCTAGGTAAAACTGCTCGGTACTCGATTTATCCTTTTAACACATTATCTCGAAGTAATACATTTTTGGGTTTATGTATGATTTTATTTATCTATCTATCTATTTATTTTTTTTTGGTGAAGGGAATTTTCACTATGGATGGGACCGTGGAAATAGAACGTGACCCTGTTTCCCATGGGGCTCATTTATTTTTGTGGTGTTTGCCACTGAGTCTGATTGATTAATGTTTCTATTTGCTAATGCTACTCTGGCAGTCTCTAAAAGTTCTTTCAGTAGCATTTAATATTTGCATGGTTTACTTTCCTGTTTCGTAGATTATATGGCTAGTCAAGGATTTTTGAGTGTTTTAGGGGGCATATAATTTATTACTCTATTTCCTAGGGAAAATAATAACATCTACAAGGATGAAATTAAATTCCAAACCTGCTAATATCTGAAGTACGAAATATTCATAATCTTCTACTTTAAGATTGTTCTCTCTTCTGATGGCTCTTTGCATCCCATGTATTGTATAAGTGGATAAGTGAGTCAACTACCTAAAGTACGACTCTTTTAAATTTGTGTTATACTTCCCTCTTGTTTGGTAACATCACGAGTCAATAATATTTACCTCCTATTTCCTGTTATTTTTGTGATTGAATTCGATGGACGTGTAGGACTGTGAAAGTTTGTAAGTTGACTGATCAGTCTGATCCTGCAATGTTGGGGTCATTGCACTTTTAGCTTACTGGATTTTTTCAGGTCAAACATGATTTTCTGTGTTATTTTTCATGTATGGACGACAGAAGCAATATTCGGCTTACTTTGATTTTGATCTAGATATGATTTTACAATTTTAATTGTGCAAGGATGTCTAGAACAGCATTCAGCTTACTTTATTGTTGGCCTTACAATCTTGAGTTTTCCACATATGGATGTCAGGAGCAACATTATTTGTGATAACAAACACATGCTAATCGGACTTTCTGATGGATCATTGTATAATATATCCTGGAAGGGTGAGGTATGTGCATTTGGTGCTCAGTATTTTCTTTATTTTTTTCCAACAGAATTAAACATTTTCATTATGACTGATAACTTAAAATTTCCTGGTTTCTTTTAGGCTTTATTATTTTGACAATTTTTTTTCTTCTTTCTTTTTTGGTTTTTGTTTCTGTTTTTAAATTGTGTCTAACCAATGGAAAAGGGTAAGTTCTGGTTATCATTATGAGTTCTCCTTGTTCTTATTGTTAAAAACAGTTCTGTGGTGCATTTAATCTTGACATTCGGCTGCGTGATAGTGTTGCTGGTAATAAATTGTCACATCCTTTGGGCAATGATCTGGCTTCTGGTGGAATTCAAGCTGTTCGCAGGTCCAATCATTTTGCACCAGAGACTTCTGCAGTGGTCAATCTTGAGTTTTCCATTTCATTGAGGTTGCTTTTTGTGCTATTTTCTGATGGACAACTCGTGTCATGTTCTGTAAGTAAGAGAGGTCTGAAGCACACCG